CATCTCTACTCCCGGTTCCGACTTCAACTTTTGGGGACCTCTTAGTTTTCTAGCAAAATAATAAAAACAAACATGTCATTCATGCTAAAAGAATAGTGATTTTTCTCCATGGATACATGGATGTCCTGTGCTCCGTCTATGAGGAAGTGGATCATATAATAACTAGTCTCAAATAGGGATGGCAAACGGGTCTAGTTTCGTGGATTCCGCACCGCATCCGCTCCAATTGGAGCGGGGATGGATATAATTTTAGCGGGTAGTGGGCAGGTGTGGATTTATAAAGTGGTACCCATCGTGGGTGGTGGGCGGGTAATGGGTTTGAGACATTACCCGCCCCGCATCTGCCCGCCCCGCATCCTCCTGCCCCACATCCGCCCGCCCAGCTAAATATCTATTAAATTTTGGACCATTATGAATTTAGGTGTAATTTTAGAGACTAATTTATAAATTTTAATATTGTATAAATATATAACATATAATTTAACCAAATATTAAGGATATTTAGTCTTTAATATGGTCTTTAATTAGGGAAATATTTGGCTTTTTGATTAAACCCATAATCTCACTAACCACGTCACTTTCCATGTTCTTTAGCCCATGCTGCCCATCCAAACACAAATTAGTCGTACTATATGCATTAACATCAAAAGCAGAAGTTTACATGTTCTTTAGCCCCCTCAAAACCCATATTAGGCGCACTATGAGCATTAACATCGAAAGCAACTCAACAATCCAGCTCTGCGACTACATGCTCCCTACAATTTGTCTCCATAACATTCGTAGAGCCACTCCTCTGACAAATTGAAGCATGCGTTGCTACCCCATCACGAACTGTCTGGGAACCAACTCCAACATCCCATTAGTTTTCTGTCAGGCGGGTCTAGATGGGTATGTCGCTAGTGGGGTGTAGGGATGGATTTGAAAATGTACCCGCGTGAGCGGGTGTGGATTTGAAAATTTGTACCATCATGGGTAGTGGGCGGGTGGTGGATTGAAAAATATTAGGTGGGTATGGGGATGGGGGAGGGGGTATCCGCACCTGACCCGCCCGTTTGCCATCCCTAGTCTCAAACATGTGTTAATTGCATCTTATTCGTAGTTACTGGAATAAATAAATATATCAGTAGTAAGGTGGCACAAGTAGAATACCTTGGAGAAATGCTGAAATTGACCTTGAAGCCGTAAACCGAGTAGAACGAGAAGTGCAACCCCAAGGGTAACAAGAAAAACGGACTCCACACTCAGGAAACCACCAGCCTCAACAGCTTCAATGGTACCATTATAGAATGTAGTTTGGTATGGGTGTTGGTCAATCTCATAGACAATTATACCCACAAGATCAAAAGTTCCAGGCTGCATCAAAGTTCTAAACGTGTAAGCTTAACAGCAATAGCAATCCTTCTCCAACGAATAAAGAAAAGAATGGAGGTTAAACCAGTGGGACCTCCAATCACTAGTTCAACCAGTATGCATTTAAGTTGACAGGACAGTCTTTTATATATCAAACATTTGACACAAAACCAGCTTACAGAATTTTTACAATTACCGAGTGTCAAATTCTATATAACACATCGAACCGAACAAACCATTGGTTCCTAATTGAATCATCATAAAGATCCTATACACACTTGTAGCCTTCTAGGGAATAAAACTCTCAGAGTAACCATTACCTGTAAGTACTTGCTAACCGCAAATGTGCAAGGGAAAGTAGCTTGCTTTGAAGGGGGTACAGTTGCATTGTTAAAGGCCTACATTAAAACAGAGTTTCAGTTATTGAATCTACAAGCAAATGTAACAGGCAGTTTCCATCCAACAATGTAGGCTGTGAAACACCAAGATAATTGAAGATCTTTTTCAGATAATGCAACAAACATTTGATAACAAAGTATGAAAGGGAAATAAATTCATAAAAAAAAAGCACAAAGTCAAAACCAGTGGCACAACATATTAATTGTACAATGAGCAATTTGAGTGTGAATGTCTAAACTGTGATTACAAGCTCAGCCTCCAACTAAACAGTAACAGCATTGTAAGATCTACAATAACAGTTAATGAAATAGGAAAATCCACACTAGTGCTAAACTCTCTGCCATTGTTATCTTAAACTGAGGTAAAGCATCTCTAAATAATTGCCAAACTCTCTTCTATTGTTTCTTAAACAGAGGTAAAGCATCTCAACGCAAGCTCAACATCCATCCATCCATCATAATATAATCAGCTACAATGTAGATGTTACAAGAGAACATGCATGATTTGATGCCTTTAACATTGTAGACATGGGGTAAGCAAGCACAATCATGAAAATGATCTAGAAGAACGAACTCAATGAGCATACCATTTTATTTAGGTAATAATAGAAATTTATCGAAATGGAAACTGATCTAGAAAACTTTAACCAGCAAAATCTTAAAAAAATTTATGATTACCAGTGTTGTTATATTTTGAACAAGCATACGATGGTCAAAAGGGAGATGAACACTGCCTGTGACGGCAATAACATTCACAGGTAACTCACCTGCAATTTAAAGAGGTACACTAAGCAAAGAGAGAAGACAGCCCCACATGGCTAATTGAAAAAAGGTAAGCATTTAAGCATAGACAATGAAAGACAAAAAAAAACGAGTTACCACTTCAACATATAACATCACATTTCGTTATAAAACAAGCCAGTAAAACTGTGAAGATAAAATAATTAGTAATTACCATCATTTTCCGTCCCAACAAGCATTTCAGTGTCTTCTCCGGCCTGAACCACTGCCCAAGGAAAGAAAAAGGTTAGCCCATTCATAAGAATGCACATCTCTCAAAATCATACAACAACAAAATCCCACAAGCAGCATGTAAAAGTCATTACATTTGGCGCTATTCTTTGGGGGGGAAACTGACGGTTTCAACTCCCGGAGATGAAACAAAATTCCCATAACCAAAATCTTGAACATCCTCGCCAACAACCCCGAGCTCACATCCTTCGGCAGCTTCTGTAACATCTGCCTCTGCTTCAGATTGACACCTAACAACTATTACACAAAAGAAAAATTACATCACAACATAATATAAAGCAATACAGGAAATTCATTTATTTATTAATTTACGGGGGAAAAAGGAAATCAACAAAAAAAAATACTGACTTCATGAATGCTACAGAAATATCAGAGTACTTTACAAGCTCTATTTCCGTTGCCTTTTGTTAGACAAAAAAGTTGAAATGCTAAACTGAACTTTTACGAGCCAGTAAAATACCAGTAAGAAAAATTCTAGAGGAATGATGCATCAACTTTTTCAGAAACCACGAAAAAGATAAATTAATGGAAATATCTCGACCATACAAATTACAATGCAACCGTGAGTCTGAACAAAAATGGTAAACCGAGAGTAGCAAATCATCTCTCGTATGGATGTAAAGCGGAAAGTAAAATAAATATACCAAAAGAAGACAATCGAGTAGCATCCCGATGGAACAGATCAATACAATCGCAGTAAAACATGCAAGCAGAAAATAATTGAATTGATAAGCATATATAGCTTAATTAATGTTAAAAACTAAAGCGAAGAGATCTAAATCTAGAAGATGATTTATAAACCTTGGAGGATAGGGGAGGCAAGGAGTCGAGCAAAGAAGAAAACCCCGAAGATTTTGATCGCCATTTTCGCCAGAGTAGAGTGAAATGGAAATAGTGAAACGATCGGCTTGTGAGTACCAGCTCCTACAAATATCGGACTCGAATAACAAAGTCGAACCCGGGACCAAACCAGGCCAAACATTAGATCTTCTGTCAATGTCGTGCTTAAATAATGCTAGGTAAACGACGCCTTTTCATCGCTGAATTTTAATAATATTTCTGTTTGGTTATTTAATTTAATCAATTATTTTAAAGAAAATTAAAGTTTTCTTCACTTTTTTGAAAAGAAATCCGTAAATCTTCCTTAAAAACTAAAAGACAAATACGAGTTGTCAAAAATATTAAAAATATATGATAGAACTCTTAATATCGAAGAAAATAAAAAAGAATTGGTAATCAATCACCATGTTATTTTTTAGGGTAAAGTATACTAATGGTCACTAAACTTTTCTAAATCTTTCATTTAGGTCTCCCAACTTTTAAAACTTGCAATACAATCCCCCAACATTTATTCTATTTGCAATATGATTCCCCAACATTTAGTTTGTTTGCAATATGATATTTTTATTTATTAAAATATTTTAAAATATTTTATTTCATGATATTTTTTATTAATCAAATAAATATAAAATAATATCTATTTAAATATAAGGGTAAAATATAATAATGGTCACTAAACTTTTCTAAAGCTTTCATTTAGGTCCCCCAACTTGTAAAACTTACAATACAATCTCCTAACATTTAGTCTATTTGTAATATGATCCCCCAACATTTAATCTATTTGTATATGATCCACGAAATAACTGTTAAAGACCATATTGCAAACGAACTAAATGTTAAGAGACTTTATTGCAAGTTTTAAAAGTTAAAGGACCTAAATGAAAGTTTTAAAAAAAATCAATGACCATTACTATACTTTACCCTATTTTTTATTTAACTTCCGCCGAGTGACATAACAAGCAGTTAAAAAAATTAGTAACCACATTAAAATAATTTAGAATTGAGTGATCAAAACAGAAATACAAACAAATTTGAGTACTGAAATTATTTACGCCAATTATTTGGCCATATTTTCTTTAAAATAATTCTGTTCCTCTAAGAAAATTATTTTTTTTTTGTGGTGAAATTTCACATTTGAGATGAAGCAGCCATGGAAATAATTTAACAAAACACATCTGTTTATAGACAATCTCTAGATCAATTAAATTGTTTAACGCATATGTAGAGGCAATCTCCTCTTATTCTGCGAGGCTTGACAGTTGATCAATCTCCATGGATGGTGTATCGCTCCCATTTCTTTGTCGGATCGTATATCTGCCATTCACAAAGATGAATAAGAACCAACTAAACTTAATCTTCACTCTTTCACAAATAAAAGTAATTTGGCTAAATAGTTTATGTTCTTTGTTGCATTATAAGCAAGCCAAGGGCAAGGAGGATACGCGGAAGCAAGCACATAGAGAGATATACAGAGATATAATGAGTACGTACCTCCCATCTTGAAGCAGGGAAGATGTGCTTGTTCTTCTCATACCAGTGCCTTTCGACTACTTTACCAGCATGAGACTGTTGAATAAAAAAAGAACAATCAATGCAATATATCATATTATCAACTTTAAAGCTCTTGAAGCAAATAATTAGAGGGAGGAAAAATACCTCATCCTTCTCAATTGTAGCATCAGCTATTGTTCGCACATCTTCATGCACGTCAAAATGAAAAAGCTGTTCGAGAACAACAACAAACAACATTCATAAGAAAAGGGTCATGATAAATCCCACCAATATTAAGATTTTTATATTGATTAGCAGAAGACTGAACCACTTGTGACAGGCAATTTATTGCAACTAATATAGGAGAGGAAATCATAGAGCAGCAACTGTTACCGGTCCACTTTTTCCCCTCGCCTTATTAACTATCAGATCGTAGAAGCTATGTTGCTGAAGATTCACAAGCATGGAAAGAAATGAAATCAAGTTAGCTAACATTCATTAAACATGGTAAAGATTGCAGTTGCTATTAAGAGCCTGGTTTCATGCTCAACTCACATGAGGAATGATTAGATCTTCTTTCACATAAAGCAGATTTTCCACCGAAGTTGTTCGAATCTCCCTAAATTCCGGAGCAAGCTGCAGTTGAACTGCTCGAAGGAATTCTCCTATGGTATCACCCTTGCGGACCTGAACAATGAAAACAGAAACCACTAAAATAAATGAATCAATGCAAAAAGTAAATTAATGCATAAGATAAAGCATTTGGATGGGCAAATTTTATTTAGGTAGTTTCACTTGCCTGGATCACTCGTCTATGGCCTGCTCCATCCCAGTAGCTGTAAGTAATTTGAAGGGGTTCATCTGAGAGACAAAAACACTCTCTCAAGAAATTATTTTTCATGCATCAATATCAAAAAGATTATCAAAAAGAAAATGCCATAAGTAAATGTACTCTTAATTTGCTCCTGTTCAATAATCCACTGTTTCCGTAACCTTTCACGCTCAGCTTGCTCCTCTGCCTCCCTCTCACTGAAAGATTATCCTCGTCCCTAAGCTCAAATGTTAGGTCCATTTCTGCTACAAACATAACTATACATGTACATGCACATGGAAATATGGCAAACCATTAGACACATAGAGAATGTCACCTGTCAGGGAGAAAGCTAGTTTCCACTGTGGGATCTTTGCCAAATTTTCCACGATTAAACCTCTTTGATTCTGAACTTTCAACATAAAGCACCATGGAAGCTGCTATTATTAGTCAACATAGTAAATAATCTATAATGAAGCTTAAGTCTCTAGAAACCGAATCAATATCAAAAACAATATATCAAACAAAAAATGTGACGATATCATCTCAGGTAAAACCATATATAACAAAGAGCAAGATTTTAAAAATCACCTGTATTCACAGAAGTGATAAAATATCAAGTAAAACAATATTGAAAAGTCTATACATAAATAAATCTAGAGGAAACCCTGCATGCTAGTAAAAGAATTTATTATCTATGGTTGCTAGAAATTCAATTACCAACAGATAGAAAACCATAATGCCACCTAGACAACATTCTTAGAAAGAATAACACCAACAAGTCAATAGCACATCAATGAAACCAAGCGGACAGCTCCACAACAGCAATCAAAGGACTCAATAGGTGTTAAATGTTTACAAAGGCAATTGGAAACAAAGCTTTGTGCTCCTATGCTAATCCTCCAAGTCCAATAGACCCAACTATCCATATAGACTAAATCTTCTATGATCGGATCCAGTATATAGCCTAGAAAAAGTAAATAGTTGCTATCCTGGAATATGAAAGAAACTAATCACCAGTTTAGGAAGGGAGAAAAACCATGAAGACAACAAGCAAAATCCGCTGTTTTCACTTCCAATTAGTAACCATCCGAGGTAAAATAACAACAGTCATTATACTGTTGGGATTATCCATGTACTACTCCCTTACAACTTTGCCAAAGAAATGTTGAAGACAAAACAAATCTAAATCTCCTTATACTATAAACAAGTTTAAACAGCAGAGCACGAGATGACAAATTTCAATGTCAGCAGTTGTGTATCTTATCTTTGAAGCATCTTTTGTTAATTGCATCCCCAAGCTACAATAGTTGTATATTGACACATACAAATCAGATAGCAATTTCCATAATCAATTCATTATAACATTTTTACGAGTTGAACAAAACAGATAAATTCTCACTGTTTTCTTCATCTTCCTCTTCACTTCCATTTTCCAAATCATCCGCAAAAGATAGGCGAGAATTCCCCTTAACTTTCCTCTTTTTACGCTTTTGCAATTGAAGTTCTTCCTCCCTACAAGATTACAATGATAAGTTGATAACGTATTACCTAAATAGTAATAAATAATAAATTCCACCAAAAAACATAAAAGACTATAAATGCAACTTACTCTTGTTGAAGTTTCTGGAGTTTCTCCTTCTCTTCCTCTTCGATTTTGTTTCGGATATTAACTCTCTATCAAAGATATCAATAACAGTTCCAGTAAGACACCTTATATATATATATATATATGAACAATCAAGAGACTAAGGTCTTGCTTGACAAAATATATAGAATAATACCAAAAAAAAGTATCATATTTTTTCAGCATGTCAACGACCACCCTAAATTACCTTCTCCACATACTGCTCTCTGGTAACCAAACCAACAGTTTCCTTCTTAAATGCAGTCTCGAGAATCTGAAAAGGAAAATATATAATGCACGATTAATAAAACGGAATTAATATATTTCGAATGGAAAAATAAAAGGGGGGAAATAAAAACCCTAGGGTTTCAAGATTAGGGGGAAAGGAAGAGTTGTGAACCTCGGAAGTACTTGAACCGAATTGGAGGAGACCTGGTTGACCTTTATCGGAGGCGGACTTGGTTTTAAGCTCTTGGATTTTGCGGCGTTCGGCTTCCCTCTGCTTCTCCAGACGTCGGATCCTCAAAGAATCTTGGGCCGTGCCCACGTACCCGTCTCCCATGCCCGACATCTTCCTATGAGTGCAAAAGAAGACGGAAGAAAAAGGTGATACGACGAAAGGTTGTGAAAAATGAATGCTATCAGAGATGGAAGCAAAGCAAACCGAATCACGATAATCGTTACGAAAAATATGAAAATACGAAGTAAACAATACAACATATGAAATAAAACACATTGAACGTCTCAGGGCAATGTTAGGGGGAGGCAGAGGGTTTAATATCGAATAATTGATAATTATATTTAAATATATATTATTTTAAAATACTTTAATAAATAAAACAAATAATTTAACTTATAATCTAAAAGACTTTTAATTGAAAACATATATTTTATCGAGAAATTAATTACTTAATGATACTAGTTTTAGTAGAAATAAAATAAAATTATGGTTATAATCTTATAAGCTTATATTTTATACTTTAAATTTTTTATATTTTTTCAATGAATCGAGTGAAATCAAAATTAATCATTTTAATAATATACATCAAAATAAATAAAAATGTAAATTTATATTTATAAAATTTAATACAACAATTTAGTGGGTGAGATGGTAAAATATTTATGATTAAAAAAATTATACATTCAAATGCCAAATAAAGAATTTTAATTGTTTTATTTAAATGTTTATATTCACATCTGAATTTTTCATCTAGATAATAATTAAAACAAAATATAATAAAGATTGTATATCTCTTTATTTTACTGAAATGATTTTAAATTTTATATCAAATTTAGGGTTACTTTCTTTTTCTCTAACCTAAGTTTTATCTCAATATTTTTGTGTTATATTTTTCTTTTTCTTTAATTTTTTTAACTGATAGCGACACCAATTTTAATATTGATTTATGATCATCGGTGATCATAATTGTGGTTATAATTTTATAAGTTTATATTTTATATTTTATATGTTGAGTTAATCGATTGACGGAATCGACCAAGAGGTGGGTGAATTGGCAATAAAAATTTTGGTGGAAGCTTTTGCAGAAAATTGAAAGAAATTGCACAGCGATTTAGAGTGGTTCGACTTTCTCAACCAAAGTCTACGTCCACTACCTTAGCTATCCACACTAAGAATTTTCTACAAAGTATTTCAAATGCCAAATAAAGAATTTTAATTGTTTTATTTAAATGTTTATATTCACAGCTGAATTTTTCATCTAGATAATAATTAAAACAAAATATAATAAAGATTGTATATCTCTTTATTTTACTGAAATGATTTTAAATTTTATATCAAATTTAGGGTTACTTTCTTTTTCTCTAACCTAAGTTTTATCTCAATATTTTTGTGTTATATTTTCTTTTTCTTTAATTTTTTTAACTGATAGCGACACCAATTTTAATATTGATTTATGATCATCGGTGATCATAATTGTGGTTATAATTTTATAAGTTTATATTTTATATTTTATATTTTATATGTTGAGTTAATCGATTGACGGAATCGGCCAAAAGGTGGGTGAATTGGCAATAAAATTTTTGGTGGAAGCTTTTGCAGAAAATTGAAAGAAATTGCACAGCGATTTAGAGTGGTTCGCCTTTCTCAACCAAAGTCTACGTCCACTACCTTAGCTATCCACACTAAGGATTTTCCACAAATTCACTAATTTGTCTTTCTTTTGAGGACAAAGAGTAACCTTACAAACCCTCAAGAATTATACCTCAAATTCTTGAGAACACTCTCTCCCAAAGAGAACAATACAAATTTGCAAACTTACAAGGAAATCCCACAACGTAGATTGTTTGCACAATTCTAGAACAAAGAAAAGAACACTCAAGAATGAATACAATTGAGCACAATAAGTGTTATTGAAAGCAAAATGAATATTGAATGAAAAATAGGCTTGAAATGCTCAAACTTGAGGTTTGATGCTTTCTCTTTGATTCTCTCTTGATTCTAGTTGCTTGATGTTTCTTGTTCTTGATCAATGGCTTCTAAGCTTGCTTAAATACACCTTGAATCATTTCTAAACGTTGGGGATCATTAATGAAGATAATATAGCCGTTTTAGTGTGAAATCAATTAATAAAACAGTTTGGAGCGTGGAGGGAATCGGTACCCCTCATAGGGAATCAGTTCCCTAAGTGTAAAATTCAAATATTTCGACTGTTGAACAGTGGGGGGAATCGGTACCCCCTAGGGGGAATCGGTTCCCTCCGAGCATACTGGAATTCTCGGAGCCAAACCATTCAGGGGGAATCGGTACCCCCTTGGGGGGAATCGGTTCCCTCTGAGCAATCTGGAATTTTTGACTTTGAAACGGTTCGAAATACTTTGAAAAATTATTTTGAAATTGTTTTAAGATTAAAAACTTAATTTTACACTTGAGTAAGGATTAAAAATGACTTTTGAAAGATTTAGAGTAATGTTTTGATATTCGAATAATTATATCGAATATACTTAGAAAATCTTTTTGGAAAATCTTAAAATTCATTTAACTTAATTTGTTATATCGAAATATCAAAATGTTTTCAACAATCTCCCCCTTTATGATATAACAAAACATTTTAGTAATTTTAAGATTTTGAAATCAAGTTTTGAAATTACTCCCCCTTACTTTAACACTTCTCCCATTTCTCCGATTTAAAACATTTAACACTTCTCCCCCTTTTTGTTAAATCAAAAAGACATTTTAAAAGAATTTAAACAAGGTTTTCAAATCACTTAGCCAATTTGATTATATATAGTTTAAGTTGCTAAGATCACAATCAAGAGAAACGTTAGCCATTAGTTTCATAATCAATATTCATAATTAATGTGATATGGCAAAATTGGTCATATATCTAACATGGTGTAAATGATGCAATAATGAATAAATTTAACCACACCAAATATATAAGTTCAAACATCCAAACAAATCCAAAGTCTAACAATCCACAAAATCAAACATTCCAAAATATTCAAAATGTTGAAACAATAATCTTTTAGTTCAAAGTTCTAAAACTAAACACAGAATCAAACATCCGGATCGAGAGGAGGAAAACGAGCTCGCATAGTGGCCATCTCATGTGAGAGTGCATCAATACGTTCATTCATCGAAGCGTTGTTTGTGCGCATCTCTCGAAGAATTTCTAATTGTTGAGCTCCCATTGTGGATAAATGAGACTCTATAGAAGTAAAGCGCGAATCTATGGTAGCATATCGGAAATCGAATGTCTCCATAAAAGATTGAAAATATGGAAGCATTTGATGCGTTTGTTGTGCTTGCTCCTCGGGCTGCTCATCGGGCTGTTCAGGCTCATCTTCGGCTTCATCGATATCTCGCATTAATTGTTCAAGCTCGGGATCATCGTCAGCTTCTGGTGGAGCTCGTGAAGAACTATCTCCCGGAGTATTTTCAGAAGATCGAACCCATTCACTGGTTTCCTTATCCTTTATCCATCCCGCTCTCGTTAAGGAAAGAAGATTAATTTGTTTCTTTAGAGGAAATGAGGCATCTAGACCAACTCTAAGCCCGACTTTAGAAAATAGATTACTCAAAATGTAACCGTAAACTAGAGATGAACAAAGTTTCTTGTTAGGAACAAGATTTACGGTTTCAACAATTTCAGCAAAAATTATATGAGGTAGGTTTATTTTAATATTGTTTTCGAAACAATGTAACCACCAAAGATCCAAGGCTCTAAGAGTATAATAATGACCTCCGGATGGTTGAAACCACCAAGAAATCATTAGATGAAGAAAACGTTTATGAAGGTCTAAGACACTCGCACTATCCCTTCTTTTATAACGATAACCTAAAATTTGTTTTTCATTTGAAATACCATCGTTATCTAATCCTAATGCCTTGGCTATGTAAGCTGAGTTAATATGTAAGAATTGTCCTAGGAGGTAGGAACGAACTTATATGGTCTCAGTTTGAGCTCGGTTTTTGACACAAACGGCATTAGAATAAAAGATGTGAATAATTTGATGGTAAACTATAAGTTCAAGGTCACAAAGTTTATCAAATTTTCACTATTGTAAAAGATGAAGATATTTAAAATTAATATCTAACATAGCTTGACGAGAAGGGATACGTTCTTCTCTAATTTTGTAAGAGTCGAAATATTGATAATACCAAAAACCATGATTTCTAGGACCAGGATGATTGAAGCATGAATTTTGGATAGTTATATTGGGATCAACTATATTAGGATTAGGAATTGGAATTTCAGGAATAGGAGGAGGATTTGGAGGTGGATTTGGTTGACAGTGTGCGCGACTAGATGATGACCTAGCACATTTAGGATTGGACATGGTTTAGGAAATCGGAATAGAATGGATAACCTGCAATTTAGAAAACACATGTATGCAATTCAATCAATCCCAAAACTCAATTGAGTCCTCAATATTTCAAGGTTCTCTAAATCAATCCTAATTGGCAAAGTTTTTGGAAACTATTGAAAAATAAGATTTTGAAAAACAATATATGTATAGTTTTCATAACAACAACATAATTCAATTAAAACACAATAATTTGAAAAATATTTTTTTATTTCGAAAATTTCAAAATTTTTGGAAAATTATTGTGTTTTTGATGAAATTAGTTGTAATATCTAGTTTCTAATCACTAAACAATCAATGCCCGATCATTATTTCTATCTAGAACTCATTAAAACTAGTCATATGTTCAAAATCAATGAAATGGAGAGTTTAGAAAAATTTACCTTGAAAGATGAGATTGAGTGGATTTTGATGTTGTTTGCATGATTTTAATGATGATAGCAGGTTTAGAAGATGATATTTGAAGAGAATTCCGATTAAAAACGTTGTTTTGAGGCAAAGTGGAGATATGGAGAGAGTAGAGAGGAGAAATGGTGGCAATGAGAGGAGAGTTTGAGCAAAATATGAGGTTCTGCCCGATAAAACCAGAACCCCAGGGGGGGTATCGATTCCCCTGTGGGGGGAATCGGTTCCCCTTCAAAGGGGGGTTCCCTCATGGGGGTATCGATTCCCTCTGCACCAAAATGCTAAAATCCGATTTTAAACACACAAAATGTTAAATTAATTTTCTCTAGTGGTATTAGCAACTCATATATTGAAAATTAATCATGTTTAAACAATCAAATTAATCTTTAAACGATATTTGAACATAAAATTAATTTTTCATCAAGAATCATAAACTCCCCCTAACT